TCTATCTATCTATCTATCTATCTGTCTGTCTGTCTATCTATCTATCTGCCTGCCTTTATATCTATCTATCTACCTATCTGTCTGTCTGTCTATCAATCGTCTGTCTGTCTGTCTGTCTGTCTGTCTGTCTATCTATCATCTATCATCTATCTGTCTGTCTATCCATACATCCATTCCTCATGATTACTTGTATTTCTTTTTTTTTCTATTTAATACACATCTGATCATTTTATTTTTAACACAATGCAAAAAAAAAAAAAAAAAAACTAATTAATCAAGTTAAAACTCTGGCTGAATGCATCAATCCAGAAGGGAAACGGGCAGTTTATTGCAATAAATGAAGCCTGACAATGACTATTAAAATAAACAGCACTGATTAGAATGTGATCATACTTTCTTATTAATTCCAAATCAGTGTCATTTCAGTTCTTCATTAGGTTTGGCCTAATGGGTCACTAATTTGTGCCTTTTTATACCGCCATTAATTCACTGTTCTATTATTTGCTGATCAGTGGTCGGGCATATGGCTCTATGATTTATCATGTGTCAAAGGAGATTTTATGAACACCACAGATAAATGTTTCATCTAATGCACGCCGTGGGAATGTCTCGCTGTCAGAGGCGTTAGTACATTTCCGGTGAGTGCTAATTGAGAGGGTTCACTTTAGGCAATAAAGTGTGATCATGACAAACTTTCATAAGACTAAAAGTTGAAAAGCTACTGTACATGTACTGACACACACATAAGCAGTACGTTTGAAAGATGAGAAATCAAGCTCTAAACACTCTAACCATCACAGCATACTGTTTGTGACAGGACGTGACAACCATTCCCTTTTAAAATGCCAACCAAAACAACAGGTACTGCTCACAGCTGTGCTATTAAACCACAAAACAGGCCCGCATAATGCATCACCAGATCACAGAACGACCCTACCATCACCTAACCCACATAGAAGAACGATAGATCCGTCAAGTGCTGAAGATCATTACACCAAATTATTTATGGCCCAGAGACTGAAGCTCATTTGTGGGCCAGAAGTTTATTCCAAAAAGGAAAAGAGCAATAAGGTAATAGGAAAAGCAGCTGGTAGGACTAAGTGCTATGGTATTTGGGGAATTTATCACACACACTTTAGAAAGGCTGTTGATGGAAGTGTGCCTACACAATCAGAGAAACACACATGGCTCATTCCTGCTATGAAGTACCTATCAAACTGTAACTTCTTCAGAATAAATATGCTTGAGTTGTAATTTAAGCAAGTACTTCTATTTAAAGGGGGGGAAAAGTATTATTCCAGACTTTCTGAAATGCTCTGGTCAGAATCAAGCACTTCAACATTATTAATTATAATGGCATTATTTACAGAATACCAAGAACATGAACAGAATGGTTATTTAAAAGAATGAAAATCAAGAGCTGAAGTTAATCAGTTCTCAGTGAGTCGGCTTACATTATGATGTCAACTTGAAGTTCACTTTGATATTTTTTTAAATATTATCAGACAGGATTGCATGTTTTAGAGTGGCACAAACCAGTTAATGCCACAGAAGTTCATTATTTTTAGATGTTTGTTCTGTTCCCTCCCCTCACTTCCTAGAAGATGATGTCATAAGGACATGGCCTTTTTAGTCATTTTTAAGTTAAAGATTTGACCACAGACTAACATGATGGAAAAGTCACATTGAGGGTACAGGAAAAATCTATATTGATGGTTGATCAAAACATTACTCCCAAGATTGCAACAACACAAAAATGAAGATGAAACACCTGTAATGTTTCTTAAATGGCCAGTTGTTCATCTTCATCCCACAGTAAAATATCTCATTTTCATATTCAACATTTCAACAAACTTTTAATAACCCAATATACTACACCATACATGACAGGGACATGAAAATGTAGGCCTATACTGCATAGTAAGGATGACCCACATGAGACTTTGTAAGTGCTCAAACAGTGTGTGAGTGTTTGTATGATGTCTGACAGTTTACCCATAAACACCACAACACATCCTCCTATATTTCATTCCCAAAGAAGCTTTAACACCTCGTAACGCGTAAATCCACGCCGCTTTGCACGGCAAGCTTATGCCTTTATTGGCAGTATTGACAGATAATCGACTTCTCGAAGGCCACACCTACCTGGAAAGCCACCCAACACTGGCGGGTGAGCGGGTGAGCGGGTGACCCACGTGGGGTCAGGCTGTAGCCTTTACTCTCGCGTCGCGCCACTTGACTTTACATGGCAAACGCACCTGACGCGCGGGGAGTCGCGGACAGACGGGCGTCACGGTCGGTAGCCACACTCACGGCCCCCGCTGTGCGTATCCGTGGAGGAGGAGGATGAAGAAGGAGGATGATGAAGAAGGAGGAGGAGGAAGAAAAAAAAGAGCAAGCTGATGCAAATGCCCACAAGCCGAACACTTTCACCGTGTTTCCAGACTGCACTCGGCGCCCCTCTTCATCAATATGTAATCCACGAGCTCTCTCATTAAAATCCAAATCAAAAGCACGCGCACAAATACGCAGAAACGCCGCGAAAAATATGAAAATACAAGAAGCTTTCATAGGCAGTGAAGCAAAATGGCGACTTTAATACGAAGGAGGAGTAAAAAAAAAAAAAAAACCTTCGCGCTGTTGCTAAAGGAGGCACGGGGATATGTTTAGTGCTGTAATCGAGGGTGGAAGAAGTGAACGCGACGGAAAGCGGAGGGCAAGGCACAGCGTCGCGCGGTTTCGCCGCAGCCCCTCGATTCCGGTCCTTACCTCGGGATTATGCCGTGTATTTGTTTGATATGGATATTATCTCCGCGACCGTGTACAGTAACAGTATGGGTGCTGGGTCACGCGCGTATCCGCCGCTGCCTTTGACAGTTGCGACTACAGTCGGCAGGCAACTTGCAAACTCTCGCGTTATTATTTATGATCACTCATTTTGATATCAGGCCAATCATTTTGGTATTTCTGCATAATAAAGCCCCTGCCTGAATGGAAGCGTTTGATGCGGCTCGACGTCATGCCGCTCGCTTATGACGAAAAGGCTTCGGCTACAATGTATCTTTATAGCGGACACATAATATCAGAATGTTCCCAACATTATTATGAAGCAGCCTAGTCTATGCGATTCTACTTTTTGTAGAAAGGATGGCTTCGTTTTTAGGGCAAGTTAATAATCTGATTATATTCATATCATTATGACGTCGTCTACTTTTTGATAATATATATATATTATTTCATATGGATTTGCACATAAAATGTATTATTTTAACAGCAATTATTGGATTTTTGCTGTCCAAAAGACAAAAGTTAACATCTTAACATGACGTCGTATCGCAGTAAAATATTAAGCTTTGTTTTTGTTTTGTTTCTGTACTTGCTAAACTAATACATATGTTGTATTTCTGTCTACTCCGTGATTAAATTAAACGTTTGTATGTGGTAGACTGAAAAATCGAATATTATAATTCGATTTATCAACTATGCAATAACATAAACGACTTTTCTCAAATTCTGTCTCACATCTCCGTCAAAAAGGCATTTGCAGAGCAAATTATTCATATTTAGCCTATATTTTCTAAATAATTATGAACAGAGGTCTCTCTTTCCACACCTACGTCACGGGGCTTAATAGATCTAGACTTTGACCCATTATAATTATTGTTTTCCCCTAATGTAAGCACCATTACTGCGTTCACCAGGAGGGGGAGGCAAATGACCGCTTTTCTGAGGATGTTGTTGAGACTCGAAATGTGGAAAAAGTGAAACCCCGAAACGAATTCGAATTTTATACAGGCTAGATGACATATTTGTCCAAAAGCAGCCTCAAGAAAAAAGAAACTCAACACACGAAAGCCCTACTTTTAGCAGACAAGCTCTTGAATGATCACATGATTTGTTTACTTATCCTATCTGTTTTAGAGCATTAGTTTATTAATTCTAGCAATCATTCACTATCTAATTTACCAAAAGGGTTTTTCCATCATTACGCTTTTTTCGCTCATATACGTTTCATGCTCGTAAAAGTGTCCACTAGTCAGCAGTATAGTGCAGGATTATGTGACAGTAGGATGAGTTTATGACGGATGATAACAGGTGATGAGCACTTAACACGTCTGTGGGCTGTGCAGGCCTGTCCCTCAAACCATCATTCACATGACTTTAATAATGCACATGAAATATAAATCTAAATCCTATAGGCTTTTTTCTGCAAGATGACAAGCTTTGTATGTTATTAATATGTCAGTCATTTCCAGCACTATTCTCCACAGCAGTCTAGGGACAGTCAGCTACATATGGAGGCCATAAACAGCACATGAACCTCTGTGTTAGTGACTGGTGAAGGCCGAACTGCTCTCAAATGGACAGGGTTACGAAGTACTCCTTACATAATGCGTAGTTCGTGTCATTTGTACACATTCCCATAACCCTGTGGTAATACAGGTAAGCGCTCCAGCTGTATTTTAGGCCATGAAATGAAGTAAAGCAAGCTGTGTGAAGAACTGCTTCAGCTCTGAGTAACTCCTCGCTGTTGAAATCCAAGAATAACTGAAGACATGGAGAGAAATGTGTTTTTGCTGCTGAGATTGACAGTGTGTATGTTATTTTTGTTTGATCAAGAGCTGCTAGTTCAAAAGAAGAGCAGTTTCCTTGACGATCCATTTTGCATAGAGAAAATGTGATTCATCTATCAATACACTTTCCAGGGGTCTTCATCTGGTATCCTTAGGCGGTCCACCATTTGTGGCTCGATCACAAGCTACTTTCTGAGGAAAAGAAATAGGAGGAAAATACAATATTAAACTCAGGTTAAGATTAAATTTGATCAAGGCCAAAGTCCCTCCCACATTAAAACGCAACTAATATTATGACAACCTTAATATTTTAAGGTTTAAAATATTGACTCTTTACACCAATGATGATTGTTTTAATGGCTGTGAAATGTAAGAATTATTATAAAAATGCTTTAATATGGTTCTCCAGGCCAGACTTAAAATAAAGCATTCAATTTTATGCAGCACAATGTGATTATCCGTAGTAATTGATTTGGACAATTTTGTTATTTTCCTTATATTAATTCATAGATTTATTGTTCATTTTATTTAAATGATTTAATGTATTTTAATATTATTTTTAATTTAATATTATGAATATGTATAGATATTTGTATTAATCTCAATATTATTTTATTTATTAATTTATTAAAATAATATTATTTCTAAATTGATTTTATTAATCATATTAATGGTAATTATTAAATAATTGTTATATTAATTTTACATTAATTTTCGGTTCACTTTATTTGATATGAAACAATGTTTAGTATATAATTGAAATACTCTTAGTAGTCTTTGTTGATATTTTCAATTAGATTTCATTTTTATATTTTGTTTTAATTTTAGTTGAAGCTGTGTGTTTTTGTCATTTTTGCTTTTTTTGTTTGTTTTTAAAAAAAATGTCTATATAGTTTTTATTAATTTTTAGTTTTAGTTTTAGTTATTTTACTTAGTACTTAGTACTCTCTCTTTCTCTTTATCTCCCTTTTTCCCATCATATAATGCAGCTGAAATTAATGGTTATGCTTGAATATGGATCGACAGAGCATAAATCTGCTTTCAGTGTTGCTGATATATAGATTTGCGTGTGTTGCTGATAAAGCAGAACGGTGTCATAGATCTTGAACACCATTAAGCGGATTTCTCAACACTTGCTGGTCAGTTTAGCATCAGGTGTTCACTTACCTTGATTCACGGCCCAGTGCCTGCAGCGGAGAGAACAGAACGACGAAAAGAGTTAAATTATAAATAAGATGACATGAGAGATATGGGCGATACATGGGTTTGTGTCTGTTACAGTGATGATCGATCACACAGATCTTTCATCTTAAATAGATGGAGTGTGTAACGTGTGTTTTGTGGAGCACAACATGAACAGAACCCAGAGGGAAAGTGCAGTCATATATCACAATAGCAGAGCAGTTCACGGATGTCAAATAAATGCTGCTGTCACCAGCTCACTGACAGAGATACATGCATCCACGCTACGCCTGACTAGTCCTGGATTTGCCCCGCCACAGACGGTGTTGTGAATAATGAAAGAGAACATACCAGGAAAGCCTTGCTAAAATAGCACAGAACGGGAAAAAAGCTCAGCTTGTTTGCTGGTTTTATAGAGGTGTTGACCATCTAAACCAGTTTAAATCTGACTTGGCCAGTTTGGGAGACCAGCTAGACCAGCTTAAACTTGCTAAAGGCTGTTCAAAACATTTTTTCCCCCTGCAGGGATCATTTTACATGCCTTTTCCAGTATCCTTAATTGTTATTACTTCAAAGACATAGATGGGTTTATGCTGCCTTCAAGTCTTCCTGTGATTTGTTTCTTTCTTTTTACTTCCTGATGAAAAACAGGAAGATTTTTTTTTTTACTTAGGCAGCATCTAAGAACTGCAACTGTTGCTTTATTTCATTATTATTATTATTTTTTTTTATATTTTATTTTTTGATTTAATCATTCTTGTGTTCCCACACTCTAAAAAATGCTGGGTTAAATACAACCCAGTGCTGGGTAAAATAGGGACAAACCCAGCAATTGGGTTGTTTTGATTTAACCCAGCATTTTTTAGAGTGCACAAAGAATGATTTGAAAAGTAGTTACACATGGCCAAAAACTGTTAGCTTCTACCATGATTCTCAGAAAATAAAGGTGGGTCAATGGCATGACACTAATTTTTGTCTTGAACTATTAATTTACTCAAAAATACAGTGGGTACAACTGACCTGAAATCAAAATATAAAGAATATAAGATAAATAAACAAATTAATAATTATTATTTATGTCACTATTATTTCTTTCTTTTTTTTTCATTTTATTAGTGCTATTTTAACAAAACTGCTTAGTTTAATGAAAATGGCTGATTATTAATATTTGAAAAACTTATTTTTTGCCAAATAAATCATGTTTTAAAGTAGATCATTTCAAAGCAACTTTATGTCAACCACGCTTTAGTGCTTTACCACAGAGCAAGAGTTTGGCATAGGTGTTGTGACATTATAAAATGATGACAGAAGTGATTTTAGATTATTAGATTTAGACTTTTCTTGAAAATGGAATAAAAGTTCACAAAACCAAACCAGCATGAAAACAAAGAGTACATGGTACATGTGTTTTAATTAAACTATGTTCATGCACACTCACATGCAATCATTCAGACATGAAACGAAGGCTGCACAGACTGTATTACTGCATTTCTGAGGCAGGATATTTTCAGGTGGCAGATTCGCTGCCAGTTCCAGGAAAAAGACAAACTACGCTCTGGACTGTGTCCCACAGCTCTAACTGCCCTCCGTACTGTCAGCTTCTGATTGGTTAAGCCATGTGGCGGCCAATGAGGCATAACCCCCGAGCTCCAGCACTGTCAGATACTGTCACATAATGTCACGGGCTGCTTATAATGCACGCGTTTGTGTGTGTCTGTGTTCCAAACTCACAATTATTATGTGGCTGCAATTCTCCATGTCGTGTGGTAATTGCCTCTCAAGGTGGTGGTGGACATCGACCGCTCTTTAATTATCTGTTTGTGTGACAGCTGCTTCCACAAGTGACACTCAGAGACACAAAGGTGCGGTGCACGCCAGACGCACTGCTCTGATCTCTGTCGCAGAACTGCACAGTCACTCAGGACTCTGGGCTGACAATTTCCCAGGGAACAAAGGAACAGGGGGTGAAAGAGAGTCAAAAAGACTGTTTGTGTTGATGGTGTTTGTGTTCATTTGTAGACTAAGGAGGTGTTTATATTAGAGAATGAGAGAAGTGGATGGCAAACATGAGAATTCAATGTCCTCTGATGCCATAAAACAGCTTTCAAGTTTAGTACATTCAAATCTGATGCATATGATTCACACAAGAAGTTCTTTGGATTCATAGACCTGAAGCTCTGCTCACTGGAGGAGAAGAAATCCATCTTTGGTTCTCTCATGTATCACCAAGTATGTAGATTTGAAATGAAGATTGAAAGTCATCTGGCTGTAAGATTTGTTATAGATTTAATAATGAATGATGAATCCAGAAATCACTTGAGTGCATTGGGCAGGCAGTAATATGAAGTAATATTATATAAGTATACGCCCTAAGAAAAGAATCTGTAGAAAAACGGATAATAAAGTCAGAATTGTGAGGTGTTCAATTCTGAAAGTCTGATATAAACTCAGAATTCTGAGGAAAAAAATAAAATTGAGAGATATAAACTCAGATAAAAAAACGAAAGAAAAGAAATAAACAAAGTCAGAATTGTGAGATATTAACTCAGACTTTTGGGGAAAAGTTGGAATTGTGAGATATAAACTCAGAATTGCAAGATATAAACGTAATTTCAAGAAGAAATTCATAATTGCGAGATATAAATTTGCAACTTTAAGAAAAAAATCTGAGAAAAGTTAAAATTGTGAGATATAAACTCAGAATTGCAAGATATAAACTTGTAATTTCAAGAAGAAATTCATAATTGCGAGATATAAATTTGCAATTTTAAGAAAAAAAGTTGAGATGTTAACTCAGAATTCTGAGAAAAGTTAAAATTGTGAGATATAAACTCACAATTTATAGTGTAGCATTTGGACCAATCAGACACACAACTATTTGTTATATTTAACAAATAATCTCTAACGCCCCCTCACCTAACCAAAGGGCAAACTATGAGGGTCTATGGACCCTTTCCCCGAAATGCAACTAACACCTCAAAAGGGCAGAACAGGCCTCTGGTTCCATGGCAACCAAAGACAAACCATCTGATAACACTAGTTTTATTGCTCTCAGTTAACAAGCCATATGAGGACCTATGGACCCTTCCCCCGAAATGCGTAACACCTCAGGAGGGCAGAACAGGCCTCTGGTTCCATGGCAACCAATGCTGATATCACTGGTTTTATGGCCCAAAGGAATGTGAGTAGAGAAAATCACTACCTTTTCCATAGGAAGAGACACAATGCACAGTAAATGGACTCTTCTCTAATTAATTCATAGGAAAAACTTTCTTTGAATGAACACACATATACTTCATGTTGTTACTGTTCATGTATATTGTCTTTTATATTGTATACTGTTTTATGCATGCTTATGATAGAACCACTCGTTCATGTAATCTTACCTATATGTAATCTTACCATGTTTAGTATCTATGAATTCATCTTCTGATGATCTAAACGAGAGTGTATATTATATGTTGGTACATAGGCAATATATTAGTGTTCTAAGAATCTTTAGTAATTTTGCATCAACACCCAATCGAGTTCCATATGCAAATTACCATGCTCTCAGACAAAGGGTCATAAAACTCCCCAGTATTTCCAACCTCCCGCTTGGAATTTCAGCCTTTCTCATTGGACAAGCCCATCTTGAGAGGCGTGAATCTTCTCAGACTTTAAAGGCCTCACATCAGTGACCCGCCTTCAGTCTGCGCTTCTGTTAGATTCTGAGAAGATGAGGATGTGAGATAGAACGCTTCTGCAACCCTTAAGTCTGCACCAGGCTTCGGCCTTGTCTTTACATTCACCAACGATCCTTGGATCTCAGCTGACGTCTCTCTTAGCTCTTCGTCATCTTCATCTAGGAGAAAACTCTCCCGACCACGACAGAGTCAGAATAACATCTTTTTGGAGTTCATCACTCTTCAAACCCGGAAGAAGGTGATCGCGACTCCTACACCACTAATGCATTAATACTGTAGGAAAGTATTTTCTGTGGCCACGAAAATATCCTTTCCTAGAATTGATATGAACTTACACTGAATGTTCGCTGGACGAACAGATTAGTTGAGGGCAATTTAATTCTGCTACAGTTACTACTGGCAGCTGATATAAATAATTGTAATTAATCATAATCAACTGTAATTATTTATATGCATTTCCCTTTTGAGCTAATTTGCTACAATAGGAAAAAAGTCAGAATTGTTTTATAAACTAAGTCTAAACTGTAAGATATGAACTTGGGGGGGAAAAAACATGTGATGTTAACTTAAAATTGTGAGATATAATCTAAACAGCTTTTTTAACTTTGTGGCGGAAATGGGCCTCCATACAATATGGAAGGCTAATTCCGTATAAAAGGATAAAAGTTGCAAACAAATTGCTACATAAGGATTACAACGACTGTCCAATTCATCAAGCACATAAACTCCTGACCTTACGTCAGCAACAAAACTCACGCTTGAGATATGAATATGAGTCATTTATTCTAAAACCCACTGAAAACTCAGGAGAGAATCCATGGCTCGAAAATGCTAATTCTGCTATGGGTTTTAGGATACAAACCGTACAGCTCTATTGAGTATGCTGTATGCTTTCGAGAGGCTTTAGAAGCGGTTTCAAATCCTGAAAATGAGAAGGGGAGAAATAATGGATGCGGGCCAGACGCACACAGCAGGAAATAAACTGGTGATTACAGGAATGTGGAGGAGTTTGAGAAAAATCATAAAGAATGGCTTTCTTTTAAAACCTAGTGGGCTGCCTAATTTAACAGTGTTTTTGACATCATTTCAACGCATCAATCATGTCTGAAAATGTTAGAGAGAGACTGGTGCTCTGGACGGATAGATTCTCTGATGGTGGAAGCAACTCGATGAACTTTTTCTGTTCTGGCATATCACACAGTATGAGAACAGGCTGCATTAAAGCTTTAATCAAAACAGACATTGATGCTATATGGAGCATTTGTGGTGTTTCATCTGTGAATCAGTGTTTGATTTGATCAAATCATTCTCACTTTCATGCACTGAATATTTTTCATTTGCTAAAATATCTCCGTTCTGAAGCAGATGATGAATGAACAAACCAAAGAAATGAACAAAATGAAAAAAAAATGACATGTTTTGTTCCTGAAAAAGGACATGAGTGAATAATTCAATAACATAAAACAAGAGAATCACCTCCTGGAGTAACATTGTAACCTGTAAAAACAGTCACTGAGCAAGTCTTTAAACAAATTAATCTTTTTGGTGAACAAATTCAAAAGATTTGAGTTAGGGGACATTATATCTGAAAATAAGTTGAAGCATTCAAAGGTTTGGGGTCAGTAAGATCATTTTAAAGAAATTAATCATTTTATTCAGCAAGGATTCAAGGATACTAATTGATCAAAATTAAAGTAAAGACACATAATCTTACAAAAGATTTCTATTTCAAAATAAATGCAGTTCTTTTGAACTTTCTAATCATGAGAGAATCCTGAAAATCAACTAGATCACTATGGCGTTATTTTACTGTCAAATGTCGAGAGCGCACTGTTGTAGCGCGAAAGTACATTGCTATGATGCGCGAGCGCGAATCTCTCCGCTCGCACGCGGATTTCCTTTGCTCTCGCACTAAACTGTACGCGCGCTCTCAGATATGCGCTGTAATGTACATTGACATATTTAAGAATTATGTTTAGATTTAACATTTAGATGTGTATTTAATATTTTTTTAAATATATATTAACCCATAAATCTACAAACATACTAAAAGACCAGATTTTCCAGAATGCTTGTTTACTGTAGGTCAGTCTGTCAAAATTGGGTGGTTTGGGCATTTTTAATAGATGTTCTTTACTTTGCATTTATTCCACTATATATACTTGTTTCACACAATAGTGAAAGAGAAGCTACACAAATGAGACATCTGTATTTTTAAAACTTTATTCCAAAACACACGCATACAGCTGTCTTTGCCACACCATGTCTTGTATAATCATGTTGGTAGCAGGTCATTACATAACCAATGTTCATTTCCCTCACTTTTTTGCATAACAAGATTTAAAAGAAACCCATTGCATGTCTGGAGAGAAAAAAAATGCTAGTGTGTCAGAATGCACGAATCAGCAAAACGCTCTGGAAACCCACCGATCATTATGTCACATGAATTTCAGAGAGAAGTCTGGCCTGTCAGTATGATATAAACCCTTTCAACCTGGATGGACTGAATTGGTTTGTGTCACGGGGCCAGATTTCTGTCAGCTTTGAGTACATTGTGTAAAAGCCTAGAACAATGACTGGTGTCAAGAGCATCTGACGATCATGTTGAGATTCAAGCTTGGTAAAAAATGAGATTTTACAGTAACTCAGAATACAGACAAACATTTACGCTTCCTTAAACATGCCACTGCATCACAGTGTAGTTGAGTGTCGGAGCGTTCAGGATTCATCAGCACTAATAAAGACAAAATCACAAAATGGAAAGAATTACATTCTCTCCGCAAAAGCTCCTTAATCATACTAGAGGAAATAAACTGTCTCTCTACAGTACATACTTAACATGCCTTCTTGCGTTCTTGGAGATTACGAACCTCATTACTCAAAAGCCTCATTCACACAGCCAGCAACATTTCAAACATTTAAAGTTAGCATTTGAATTTATTATGTTGGGAAACACAATTGCCATGTTCACACTGACCCAACAAACACAAACATGGTTAAACACACTGATCCAACGAAACCCAACATCAACTATTTGGTGTTCTCTCAGCCTCCAGCTCCGCCATCACAATAGTTGACCTGAAAGAGAAAACTGGCGGTACTTGAAGTGTGTTATGTATTGCGACATCTTGGAACGCAACACCAAATTGATCTAGAATCTAAAAACGTTTGCTTGCGTAGAGTATGTTGCAGAACTAAATTTTGTGATTGTAAGGTAGCTGATTTAAAAACAGTCTCTAACAGGTCTAGCCATGCAGACATGTGGCACCGCTTTACATTATTGCTTTGTAAACAAGGACAACTGGGACTTCTATGAGTGACAGTGATCTAGACACATACTCTAGAGTAAAGGTATATTTATACGCTGATATATTCTTTGTATATTAGGAGAAAACCTGCTACATTTGTGCAAGATTTCAAAATGACAATGAAATCAAGAATATAACTTAAAGAGTGTTTATGAAAGTAACAGCAGGAACAATATACGAAGCTCTTGAACGTCCTGAGAAGAAAAGCAAAATGATGACATTCAGTGTTCATTTTCAAACAAATTGTCCGTAACATCCAGCTTCAGATCATGTAGTCATTGTTTTTGTCAGTGTGAACATCCCTTTAGCTTGAAGTCAGGAATGGGAAGATGCTGGATAATCAAACTGCATGCCCTATATTCTATATCTAATTCTCAGCAAATTCAATGATACAATCTATCGTGAGAGGTAGGAGGAGGAATTGTCTGTTTCCACACTTGTAGAAACAGGATTTCTTCAGCATTGCATCTACGTCCATGTTAAATGAGTGATAAAAGAGCAGGTCTGTCAGACATCATCCAAACACTTGGGGAATCAAGGCTGCTGAGATGAACCGCTTCTTAACATGATCTGAGATCAATGTTCATCTTCAGATTTGGATCTGAGATCAACTTTAAGTCAACGTCTTGAAAGTCAGCATCTTGATCCAATCTGTATCCTCATTATTGTCTGACAGAGCTCTGGTTGGTGCTCTGGGTTTTGTAGAGATGAGGTGAGACTTGAATCTTATCACTATATTACAGTTTTAGAGTTCGACTTTGTCCATTTGAGTCTTTGAAACCCCATTCAGATCTGCATAAAAAGACGGTCCTGTCTGTTAAATTGGAGTTAACAGTCTCCTCCACAGCTCCACCTCCAGGCAGATTCGCTCTCTCTCTTTCTGTCTGTAGCAGTTTGGAACAAGGCCTCCCGTGTCTGCCGGGAAGTCGAGAGAGCTGCCAAAAGGATAGACGAGCTAAGAAATGTTGCCGAAGGAAGCTGTGAAGAGAGAAAAGAGACAAGAGAATGAAAAAGGGCATACATTATTTATGTGATTGCAGGAAATACATGTGGAGAAGGGATGTGCATCACAGAACCTCTCTGGTTAGACATTTACTCACTATCCATGGATTTGGCTTCTTATCTATTAGATCCCTTTGTACCTTCATGTTCTCCCCTCTAATGCTCGCCTTATGAGAGAGAAATTCATAAATGTGTATCATGTGCACACTTCAGATGCAAAGTCTGTTCCCAAAGGCAGCAGTAGCATTATACAGCCTTTACAGATGCCTTTCTTTAGACCAAAGTCCCTTTAAGGAAAGTAATTTCACTCGGCGGCCATCTTTGAAACACCTCTCGGGCATGCAAGTGCAGCTCCTATCTCTCTGAATGGGGAAACATCAAATTCTCCAAAACTGTTCGCTAAGCTTACGATTACATTTCATACATTTCATATTTGAAATCACCAATGAAATCTGACAACTGTCTCATAAATGTTTCTTTTGTTTAAATAGCATAAAAAAAAAAAAACGTATTTTTCAGGCTAGACCAGCCAGTGCGCATGCGCAGTCCTAGCACACGTCTCTGAACGCTGACTGTTTCTATAGCAACCGGGACTTCTAACGGCAGCTGCAGTGACGTGCTGACTTTACCGATTAGCCATTGGCTCTTTTATTCAGAAGGCGGGGAAGAAGAGTAGCCATATTGAGCGTTGCATTTTTCCCCATTCAAAACTATACGAGTGACACGTCTTGGGTATTCTATAGTTTTTGTTTATACACAATCCTAACTCAGCATGTGTCTGAGTGTCAAACTCTATTTCATTTATATACAAAAGTATACAGTTCAAGTTTGAGCACTAATTAAAAGAAACTAGTTTGCCCAGTATTTGAGTATGCAATATTTTAGATTATATAAAGTATCTCTACAAGGCAGGTAAGTTCTTGGTTATCCCCACAGGCAGACAAGAGCCATATAAAAGAGTGATGGGAGAAACTGAGCTTTTCAAAACTCTAAATCAATTCATATAAATTAAAACCATATATTAGACACTGGTTTATGGGTTCATCTTTAGATCAATGTCTCATAGCATCAAACCATTGAAATTACAAACATTTTGAAACAGTACAACCTAATGAAGCCTCATTTGCTGAAATCATGCGACTTTGCCAGTCTGATATAGTGGTGGGCCAATAATGGGTTTTTTGATGGCCGATGCCAGAGAGCAGGGTGGCCGATAGTAAATAACGCATAATTTATGTCATGTTATGTATATTTATTTTACATAATATTTCAACAGAAACAATTAGAACTTGACAGAAAAAATAAATCTGAAAAATAAACAGATAGCAACTGTAATTATTTAATCCTATTTGTTAAAAACAAATAAAAAGTAAGTAAACTCCATAACTAACTGAGTGATCTGGTAAGTTTGTGTGCAATGGGAATAATATTTTCATAAATAAGCCTGTGAAGATTCTGGAATATGCATTTGATGGGCACTTTACCATCCCATGAGGCCACAGGGGAGAGCTGTGAATGGCAGTGGATTGACACACGTGACGTGACAAAGCCAACATGGTGGATATAGTATGTCCAGATTTCATTCACACTACACTCAATCATATTATATAGAACATGCTTTTTTAACGGTTGCTAATGTAGTACCTACTCAGACAGTAGACTATACGATTGTGGGAATGGGAGCTCCAGTGCGTCAGGCGCAGGGTTCTCAGCACTGTCAAAATAAAAGTCCTGTCTCTGATGGTTAGCAGCCAAACAGAAAACTTATTGGCTGATGCTGATAATTAAAAAAAAAAAAAAAGCCAAACACTGTCCGGTATAGCAGGCTTGACAGCATATTGGTTGACCACTGGTTGACACTACAAATAAAAATTCTACCTTTGGGGGTACAACAGTTTGTCAGTGTGGCAGTGTCTTGTTGTACCTTATCTACTCCTAAAAGGTTCATATTGGCACCTTAGATTAGTAATATGTACCCTTAAGCTACTATTATGCAAGTTTTAGGGATAAATAAGGTACAAAGATGTACCTTTGAGGGCACTGGCCCACTGACAAGCTGTTACAACCTTAAAATAAAATGTACATTTTTAGCAGATTTTTTTCTGAAAGTGTATTTCACCTCAGCAATACACCTGACAACAATGTGTATTGCCTGTTACGCATTGCAATTTCTTCCATTCATAATTCTAGAAGTGATCCATTTTTTTTTAAATTACTTGTTCAAATTATTTGTGTGTCGCTCACAGTTGCTGTCTATGGGATTTCGAAACAGTCAGTCGGTTAGAATGCTACATTAGAAGACAGCCGCCCATGTAGGCATTAATCTCAGTAGGTTATGGAAAATAGTCAAAAACTGGTTTGGATTTGCACAAATATTGTTCAAATTTAACTTGACTAGGGTATACTTCTTAGAAAAATGCTTCAGAAACAAGTCATTCTTAAAATTCAGATGTGCAGCAACCATCATTCATACGTGAAGTGCTGCGCCGACAGACCGTCCAGATGTTGTTTGAGAGTTTGAGTGGAGCTTGTCTTGCGGTAGCCATTAACATAACTCTCCAGAACATCATGGTGAGCTATATTTCTTATCCGTCACCAGCAGAGAGTGATATCAGAGAAAAATGCAGGAAGGATCTTTTCATCAATGGCAGAAACAAAAAGGACTAGACAAAATGAGATCATACCAGAATACATTAAACTGTAGAAGCCGGCTGTATACTGGAAACACTGCATGATTTATTTATTTATTTTTTATTTTTTGTTATGCAATCAGTTTGTAGAGATTGTAAAAAATGCTGATTGCAATTTAGAGACATGTTTCTTCCGGCCTGGGCAATCAATGATAGTCTTGTTCAATCTGACGAGAAAGAACATATGAAAATGAAAGTAAAAAAAGATAAGAGTATAATGGAACGAACAATTCAAATCGCTGGACAATGGACAATCAGAGACAAACGCATTTGAGGAAAGGAACAGGTGGCGTGCTTTGTGCTGCCGTGACATCAAATGACAAAGTGCCAAAGCTGGTGAAAGTCAGAATGATTGGTGAATGTGTCATCTGCTGCACAGCCTCTGATGAAGACACCTGATTACTGGTGAAGGTAAAGACGTCCATCTATGAAAAAAACATTTAGAATGCAAAGAGAAGCCCCTTTCACACATACAGTCTTTACTGGTAAATTACCAGTAAATTACCATTAAGTGATCATGTGTGAACAGGACCTTTTCAAAAATACCAGTAAAACGGTTCCGGCAATTTACCGGTTTGAGAAACTGTAATATTACCAGTAAATCACCAGTAATGTGATCTGTGTGAACGCAGAACGAGATTACCGGTATGAGCACGTAAGAGTTCGGAACGTGCTGACGTAAGACTCTGTGCCAATCATAACATTCTGACGCAGATGACACATTTACTCTGCGCTGTTTACAGAAGTCAAAGAAATGTCTAAAGTTGTCTAATACGATGTCTTTGGGCAAACAGCTGCATAAATGTTAACGTTTGACATAAAAATGAAAACATCAACAAAAACACAGACCGCGTTTACCCCTCCATGTTTACAAACACAACACCGGGAGGCGCAGCCGTTTAGAGGTCATTTCTGGTTAATGATGTCACAGAATTTACCGGTATTTTGAAACTGACATGTTAATGGTGCTTTACCGGGAAAAAGGCAGAACATAATTGCCTGTGTGAACAGCGCATTTTTGTATTACCGGTAAAGTCGTTCCGATAATTTTACGGCAATTTACTGGTATTGCTGTGTGAAAGGGGCTAGAGTCCCCAGAGACAAGAAAGTGTCCCACTAGTTCAAAACAACCCAATTTCAGTAGAGAACAGTGTTCAAAATATACCAAAGCTTCCATTAAGGCCCACTATTAGGAAGACGAAAAGTCTGAAAAGGTGTTTCCTGATTTAACCCTTGTGCTGTGCTGAAAATCTTTTACCTAATTTGGTGTTCTCAATCAAAAATGACTGACCTTTTTAAAAAAAATAGCTTACATAATGCTATATTATCACCAACTCTTGTATTCAGTCTTTTTGTTTTTTTTTAATTAGCACAGGTTTTGCTTTTCTTTTTGGAACTGACTGATTGTATGCTTCATTGATCTGACCTTATGCACCTCAGTTTTTGAAAAAAAAAAAAATGTTTGTGGGTAATTTTGACAATGTTCACTCAAAAACTGAGGCTCAGATCAATGAAGCCTGCAATCAATCACTTCCCACAAGAAATACAAAACCTGTGCTAATTGAAAGAAAAGAAGCTGACAAAAAGATTTAATCCAATATTTGGTAATAATATAGTATAATGAGAAATTTATAAGCAGTGATGCAATAACATTACCATTTTGGGGAAAAAGAAAATTCTCTCTGGGTCAAAATGACTAACAATAAATTAAATTTACCAGCACAACATTCTGAAACGACGCAGGAGTTTTATTTTTGTGTGAACATTTCCTTTAAAGCTAAAAAAAGAGAAAGAAACATGATGAAAAACGTGCATTGAGTAGCTTGTTGTGGCAGATGTTTGGAAGGGCCTCAGGATGCTCTCCTGATGGAAACAGGCATATGGAGGAGAATAGATGATTACGCTAGCAGAAGTCTCAGGGAGTTTGTGTGGGTCGCTTTCCTCTAAATGAAGCTGAGTCTCAGAGACTTCCCGTCGGGTTCACAGCGTTAGCTACATCAACATTTAATTGGTGAAGACTTATCATTTCTCTGAGTATCACAAATCTGTCTCATTTAATGAAAAATCATTTTACATTTGATATTCAGTTTGATATGTCGTCAAAGATGACTTTTCCCAGATCTTCATATTGTGAAATGAAACATTAAAGCCTTTCAATTTTACAACACTCCTAAATAGCGCACAAGCAAAGTGCATTATAAAACACGTAAAAAATTCATGGAAACATCATGCATTCATTTGTATGAATCCTTTTCAGGAAAAACATCTACGCAACATTAGTGTTTAAATACACATGAGGAGACTAAATGACGAGCTACTGACGTCTCAAACATGACAATAAGACTGAAAAAAGGATGTTTGCCTGCAAACTGACTTGTTTTGTTAACTGGAACAAACGATTGCACTGTTTGCTATGATGAAGCAGTGGATCACAGGTTTTTCTTTTCTATTTGTGTGAGATGTTTAAGGCTATTACAGTCAGACGATTGGGTGGTAATTTGGAGAAGAGGTAGTAATAAGGTTTGGTGTTTCAATAGAAACAGCAATTAAGTGTTGGGAGAATCTGCCTCGCTCTCGGCTAAATTGCTTCGGTGTGAGGAAGGAGGAGGGTTCGGCGAGGGATGAAGAGGGCAGAATTACTTAGCCTTACTGGGAACCAAAAGAACAAAGCAATTTAGAAGAGTACAGAGGCAACATTTCAGAGGATAAATACCAGATAGCAATTGGACTGAAAGGTCAATCTACACCTCAGATTCACTCATGTGAGCGTTATGAGCTTTAACAGAGACCGGCAAAAGAGCAGAAGTGCAGTCCAGAAATCCTCTGATGGGTATCAAGCTGATTGTTAATAGACAACGCTAAATTATTGGGCAGGGGACAGAAAGCTATTACCCTCACTGATATATATCGTACCTTACTACTTTGATATATATACTTTGTACTGATGAATGAAACCAAATTTGTCGAAGCACAGGTACGTGAGTTGCACAAGACATAAAGGGAGCTGTTGTGCTAACGCAGACATGGATTCATCACGTATAAACAGCAGGGTTGTGTCCTGAACCCATTCCCCCATCTCTCGCTCCACTTTCCTGTTAAATCTCCATTGTACTGGTAAAGCAAAGAGGCCCCTAAATAAATAAAAAATGAACGATACATAATTTAAGTGTTTTAAAATATATATAGTTCAGTCATGAATCTCTTCCGAGCAGCTGATTGGTTTACTTAAAGCCGATTGCTCATCCAATCATTTGTTTGTTCCTATCTATGTAACTTATTTATTCCTGACTAGTAATGAATCAGTTCATTGCAGCGAGCCATGGGATTTTACTAACCCTCCACCTTCCCCAGCACCACCTGCCTAGATCTGCTCCGGGGTTCTCCCTATTTTCCTTGCAGCACTCTGAATTCAAGTCACTGTTTCACGTGCATTTCAGATGTGTCCGTACTCCAGCAGCAGCAGCAACATAGCAGATCTAGTCCGCCAAGGCCAAGCCTATGCACATTCCATGCTTACTAATAAATGCTGGTAAAATTCATTCTGAGAGTTGTCATGATTGAAATAATTTTAAGAGTATATGATGTCATCTACCATTCAATTTCAAACAAATACAGCCTTGGTGAGTATAAGATACTTCTTCTTCAAAAAAAAAGTCCCAAAATTCGAACCACCCCCCACACCGCACCCCACTTCTCCACATTATGGTTTATCAACACATTATGAGTAAATGTTACCTAAATGCACATCTCAGATATCATAATAATAAAAATTAGGCTGAATAAAGTGGGATGTGTAAAAGACACTGGAGTGGCTTACACCACAATCTTTAGCAAAACAAAGTAATTTTTCTGTGGAATTACCAGAAAAAAAAAATCATTCAGATCATATTACATGTTAAAACAGAGTTATGTGAAGCAGAATAATGTTTCTGGCTGTCAAATTTGCCCAGTAACCATTTCCTGTCATTGAATGCAATCAGGGCCGGATTTACCTCTTTTCGTGACATAGGCAAAACAAATTTTTGGGCCCCCCTTATATATTAATATAATTAATATAATATTAATATGTTAGGCCTAATATTACCACCCAAGCAAACAAAAATATTTCTTAATCAGTGGAAACCGTTACAGTGTTTTCTATCGCAATAAGCGCTTGCGTTCAGTCAATAAAAATCAAATGTAGGTTCTTAATTTGTTTGAGAATTCAAATTTGTTTGAGAATTGGGTGTTGAACTAGCTCATTTTTTAACGTGCCCTATCCCAAACCTTCCGTTGCAAATTCCAAAACGTCATTTTAGAGCTAATAACAGAGGCTTGAGCCATTGATATGCAGGCTAACGCAGTTATTAATGCAGTCTAATGTAGCTTTTCAGCTGTGAAACTCTTTTATTGATGTCTGCCGCATCAATGATGACAGGTTTCTGTCTGCGTCTCCGCGTGTGTGCGCGAGTGTCAATGTGTGCGTGTGTGAGAGAGAACGGGAGAAAGAAAGCGTGATTTCCGTACATAAAAAAGGTTGAAGACATGGAAATAGTTTGTCATTTTTACCCTATTGTTTGTTATATTTATTTGCTCAATGTCTTCTGGGGTTTTGGTTCTTTTACTGTTGTAGATATCCCATAGTATAACAAAAATATGATATATCTCTTCATTGTGTTTGGGCCCCCCCTGGACGAGCAAGCATAGGCACGTGCCTAGAATGCCTAAGTGTAAATCCGGCCCTGAATGCAATAGAATCACAAACAGTTTCTTTTTCTATTTAACAGCAGAAACTCATACAGTTTTGTAACAACATGAGGGTGAGTAAATGATGACAGAATTGACACGTTTGACCCTTACATTTCTAAGTTAAACAGAAACACAAAACCCTTCTTCATCAACATGCTTAACACCAAAAACCCTTGCCACTTCAGTTCTTCTACATCAACTTTATCCAAAACACTGATCAAGACCCTTCTATGGTCAGACTGGTTTTCTCATTTTTCACCCAATCAATATTTAATATTTTCATTCACGCCAACTGAATCAAATACGACAGGCTGCTATAGATGGCCTCTGTTTAGACGTCTAGTGGAGACCCTGCTGGCTGAGAGACGCATCTAAGAATAAACTCAGATAAGCTGTGTCCTCCAGCCGTGCCTAACAGTCCCCAGGAGCCAGACTTAACACGCTCTGACAGGTGACGCCAACTATCAGAAACAAACTAATCAGCATTGACGGCACTTTTATTTGACCGTCCTTCGCTCTCGAACACCCTTCATCTGTTTGAACCCTCATCCAGGTCCTCTGCTTGAACCTCAGGTGAGGATTTTTCCACTGGGTGGTTCAATTAGATTCCTTTATCATAGCACAGAGACCAGGACTTAGTGAATTGTTAAATTAAATTTGCCCCCTAAGCTGTTGGTAGAATTCCCTGACACAGCGTTTAAGTGGTCTCTAATTCCCTTTCCTTGTTAATATGGGGTACATTGGGCTTTGACACTTGCTGAGGCGGGAGTTCAGAGGACGTGTCTGCTCCGAGGAGACCCTCACACTTTGTGTCTCCAGGTTGTCCTTTGAAACTTGTAAAGTTGTATTTAAGTGAGGTTTTAAAAAAGAGAAACTTACAACTTTTGTATCCAAGAAAAACTTTTATCCCAAAAAACCTAATACCTAATAGGATATGAATATATAAAATAAGGATATGTTTTATTATACAACAGTGATTTCTGGTCCTCGAATATTATATTATCATATCATATCATATATCATATTATATTCTTCTGACACACATAATTGGAAAAAAACAATTCAGCAAAATACAATTACTGAATATACAACTGTATAGAATTATATTATATTATATGATTAAATGAAAATACCAAAAACATTGTTCAGTCTAATTAAGTTGATTTGTTAAATCTAATTAACAATTGTGTGTCTGATTGGTCCAAACGCTACATATTATATGATAGTATATTCATACAATACGTATATATTATTATTATTATGATTACAAATAATATTATAATGGCTAAATATTCATTAACCCCCCCCCCAATCTTTGAATGAATCTCTGTCCCACATGGGCCATGCTAGTCAACTGCAGCAATAATGGATAACTTCATAGCAGATGAGGTTGTGTGTGTTTCAGGTGTTGACCTCTCACCTCTACTGAGCAACTGTAGGTTACGCACTTCCTCTCTGACCTGTAGTTGCAGGACCTGCTGCAAGACTTCCTGTCTCAGTGTCTCTTGGATTATACCCATCCTCTCCAGCTTCTCTCCATTCAACCGCAACAGGGCACGACCTGAAAAAGTGTGTGAGGGACAGGATGAATGACAGTTTAAAAAGTCAATGCCAGCTTTGTAAAATAGCAAGACAGAACAGAAAAGGATTTTATCCAGAGAAAATTTGATCAGTAGTGTGGAATTGGTTTACATTTGTTTAAATCCCCACAGAAACCATCAAATTAATGTCACAAGTCTTGCCAACAGAACAAGACAACCCAAGAAAAAGTATTTCTGAATATGTAACCAGTAACCAGAGATGTAATAAGACTTTCCCCTTTTGTAGTACAATTTTAGCTTTGCTGCTTTCCAAGACACCTCATTTTGGCCAATATATCCTTTGTGGATGAGGCAATACATTGTTAAAAGCTCTGTGAAAAAAATCCCCCAAAGGTAGCATACACAATTGAGAGAATGTCGACTATATAAAATAATAATAATAAACAAAATTATATATTGTACAATTTATTATAATTGATTGTGCAATTTATAACAAATAAAAAAAGTGTAAGAATAATTACAAAAAATACAGGAAATTAACAAAATACATAAGACAAAGAACAACTTTAAAAAGCAACAAAAGGAAAAAAATAGGTTAAGGAAAAAAATAATTAAAAAATGTAAATATTTACAAAAAATATTGTAAAAACATCTCAGTCTAATTAGAATGTTCTAATTAAAAAAAGCATATTCACTGGCCAAAATAATATACAAACTGTACTAATATGCTAAATTCTAAAAGCAGAACTGCATGTATATTTTATGGATATGACAATTCCAAAATAGAGTATTATAAGCTTTGTGGAGAAAAAAAAAATCAATCCAAGTTGGCAGATGTACTGGAGAGAAATGGTAAGTATACAAAAATAAACAAATAAACTAAATCAAATTTAAATAATAATACCATTTATTTGTATGCCACCTTTCAAACATAAACTGCAGCTCAAAGTGTCACAGGTCAGAATAATTTTAAAACATTAGGAAATTAACAAAATACATTAAATAAGACAAATGACAACAGTACAAATCACAAAATAAAATAGTAAGGTTGAGATAAACATTTATAAAAAAAAATTGAAAAAAAATTCTAATGAAAAAGGTCTAAATAATAATAATAAAAACTAATTAAAATTAAAATGTGTAAAGCATCCTATAGGAATTAGACAGCAAGGCAACATACTAGTTCTGGAACAAAGAGTTTATTTACCTCAGCAGTCAGACAGACAGACGGCATAAAGCCTACACACGTACCTCACTGTCCTACCACTAGAGTCCTGTCCTTCAAAAAACATCACAAAGCAGGGGAATTTACTGTCATTTGCCCCGAATGCGCTCACTCTAATTAGACTCATAAATCATCTCATTCTCTCTTAGAATATAATCATCCATCCTCATTCTAACCTGGCAAGTACACAGGCACTCCCTCACAAGAACGCCACACATACAGTTTACGTAACGAGAGTCTATTTTAGGCCACATTAATAAATGTGTTCAAATTTTCGCACATTTTGCTTTGTGTAATGATTACTAATGAAGTCGGGTTACGTAAGGCCCATTTTGTGACCTTGGATGAGTGTATTGATTTGTGTGGTGTGTGTCCAGAAACATAAGCGCTGGACAGCTATTCCCCTCCGTAAATGAAACATAATGACCTTAATAACAGCTGGCTGTGGCTATTTCTCTGATGACGTAGTGGAATTGGAGAGATGAGTGCAGTGTGGTTTGGGGGTTCAGGGATTGGATGGTGATGATTACAGTTTTACAGATCGTTTACAGAACTTCATGAGCTGTCCCCTGAGAGAAACCACCACCTGGCGTTTAATTACTTTCTCATAAGTGAGATTCGGTTACAGAAACTTCTAGAAGTTCAGACATGGTGATCAAAATGACTCATCTCGGTTAGTCAGTGGTTAGAGGCAGAAAGGTTGACTATCTTTCAAGTCAGCTAGAAATAGAATGACGTGTAGTTATCTTTTCTTTGTTGACATTTTAAATTTAATCAGGAAGTTTTGTAAGGGCCTCCATACTGTATATATCTGGACAACATACTGTAGGCTCATTGCAGCTACCTAAATATTTGCAAAAAAAAATACAATTCACTGCAGTTTTCATCTGCAATGAACACCAGTGGCAGTAAAACAGCAACAACTTATTCCTTTTCTCACAAATTATGATTACAGGGGTCAGATTATCAATTAATAAATAGTTATTTTCATGCAGTTCCTTGCACAGTACTATGTCATGACCTCAAAACACTTTTACCATAGTGCATGATTTGTAAACAAACATTTTGAAGTTTGCATCACATAAGCAGCTCCATATGTGTGGCTTTTCTGATGACGTACACTTGCTCAGTAGCGCACCCGGTACAGCATTAGATTTAGGAGTCCAGAGTTGCAAGTCCTCAAATATGAGTCCGGTGAATCATAAGTCATGATAAAAGAGCTTGAAAACATGTAAAAGCAAGCTAAAATGCCGTTTCCTTTTATTAACACTATAGGTTAGGTTTAGGTTCGGGTTTAGTGTAGATCCTATATTATTTTTAAACACATAGTGTTCAAATAGTAGACACTGAACTTCTGAACTGCTGAGATACATATATAATAAGTCGTTGTCAGATTCTGGTTCATCTCTTTTAAATAAAACTGAACATGCTTTTAGCGTCAGTAACTGGACATTTCACCTTGGTTGTCCAGAATGTCCAAGAAGCTACCTATCATTTTGCAGAAATGTCATCACAGGCATGTTTTTCCAATGAGCCTGGGTTGTATTCAGGCCTGCTGGGCTCCAGACCAGCAGGGGGTGCTGAAGAGCTGCAGAAACATATTAGCTTGGACTGTTGCCATGATAATCAAGGATGATTATCTACACAGCAAGTGCACAATGACGCTACAATTGCGAGGCAGAGAGACTCGTTGATTATACCGTCACAATCTCCTCGTGTTGTGTCACACCACACAGCATGCTTCTGGTGTACAGATGGTGCGAGACATCTGTGCCCAGGTGCCCAGGGCAAGCCAATGTCATAATCCGTCCTTGGTCGGGACATAATGAATGGCTGGTCCCTTTTGCGTCACAGAGATGCAAGATGAATAGTAGGTGAAGTCTGTGTGTTTGCGCACAAACCATGACTTGCTACTTGCTACTGCTATAAAAGACAGATGGTATTAATAATTTAGAAGGGGACATTCTCATTCTAGACAGCATTTTACTGGACAAAAAAATTGGATATTCCCATGAGTGTGAGATCAGTCATTAATATTTTTGGTCTGTTTTCCCAGAACTTTATTTGACTCCTAACTTTTATGAGTAGCCTACACTAACATACAGATGACCTCAAAGCTAACAGACACTGACTAAAAGCTTTCTTGACTAAAATCAATTTTAATTTTATGGGGTCTTTAATGTGCTTTGCTGTACAGTGGAAGAGATCAGCTGCAAAACTGAAGCTATTTTACAGAAATAGCAATGGTTAAAGAGATAAAGGAGCGAGAGGACATCTGTGTATGGGCCTGTTCGTGTGTGTGTTTGAACAATAAAGAACAAAGCCCTTAAATGGAATCGCAAGGTGAATCCCAAACAGAGAGAGAAAGAGAGAGAGAACAAAAAGAGGCTTGAAGTACCACACTGAAACGGCCCATCCTCAGCATATTACAGTAAATCACAGCAATTCAGCAGACACCACTTTATTAAGCTGTCTCTTGCCTCTATATCTATAATATACAGTAGGAATCTCTACTGTATTACATCTAGAGAGGTTCAACAGGAAGTGCTTTTTCCATTTTGGAATTGTGATTTTTTGAGCAAATAATTTTGAGTAAGACTGTTGTGTTGAACATATCATATAGCATTGGCTCAAACTAAATGAATGTGTTGGGATATCCTGAACTTGTGACTGCAGCTGTGCTGCTTGCCTCCTTTATGTGATATTTACAGATGTGTAATATGAATCATGTAACACATGAAGAAACAACTAATTATGAATATTAAATGAGAGTAGCATTTGTCAAATTGGCTCAGAAATCAATTACTTTCTCAAATCTTTTGGAGGGCATCAAACAGTTTTTATTTGAATGTGATTGATCTAGTGTTTGGACCACTAATACATGTTTTATCATAACAAAGTTTTAAGAAATATTTGACAAATAATGAATATAACTATATTTATTGATAGTAAACAGACATTGTCACATTGAAAAATAAATGTCACTGTAATAACTCTAAATTGGTTAACATTTTCACCACTGAATTTCTGGTAACCACAGTTGCTGTTTATTTTTACTGTAAATTTAAATATATATATTTTTTCGGTAGTAAAATTGCATTTACTGTATAAAAACAGGCTACACTACATTATACTGTATACATTTCTGTATAAATTACTGGAAAGTGCAAGTGCAAACCAGGAAGGGTAAACAAAAGTTCTGGCCATTATTATATTCATTGTTTGAATTCTGTTGTTCTTGTTTGCCAAAATCAAACCATCTAATTCTGAACAAATTTAGGACAAATTCATATTCTTCAAGCTAATGTAACAATCTTTCCAAACCGCACTCTCCATACATCCATCTTCATGCTAAAAAGCATCAGTCACTGAAGTATATCCTGTTAAGCCTGATGCATAGGCTGTTAGACCAATTGCTAGTGTATTTAACTACTCAGGGCTTATGGGGGATTATTGGACAGAGACGCTCCACTGACCCAGAGTGCTGTGATGGAGCAACCTCCAGTTGCCCCTGGGGCTTTAGAGGACAGTCATGGGCCAACACTGACCCACTTTCCAGCTCCAGGAATTCACACATGGCTGTGGGGATTGCATTCGCTTCCCAGTCACTCACATCAGGCTGGGAGGAACAATTAGAGCATGGGAGATGCTAACAACACTGATAATGGAAATGTCCGTAAATAGCCAGGGGTGCTTCTTGAGGTTTGTATTTGGACTATTGTGGGGGGGGTTTTCTAAGCTGCACTGTATTTTTCATCTTGATATGGTGCTTCCATAGTGCACAACATTGAGGTGTTTTGTAAAGCTCTCTAGTATATATACACACACATGCACACACACAAATTCAGAGCTTTTGAATTCAGCCCTCCAGAAGCACTTTATCTAGGATTGCTGTTTGTCTGAGGCTTTTGTGTAGCAGCAGACAGCACAGGTGAACAGAGTGGAAATGGATTCCCAGCAGATGGGTTTAATGTGTTCCCAAATAATGCCCTGAAGTTAGTGATAGTGATAAAGTACAGTTGGTTATTTCTATTTATCTTACATTTACGACAAAAAAAAAGATGTGAGACACTGACTAACAGCTACAAAACTGCAATTTTGATTTCATGGGCTCTTTAAAATGCACTTTAAGGTGCTGTACTTACTAGTAATTCACATGAGTGCGGTCCAAAGCAATTCACACTTGCAGCTGTTAGCTGACTCAAAAGACCAATACCTATGTTGCAGCAGAATCAGTCTGTCCCTGAAGCAAGCAAAGGTCTTGTCTGACATGAGTCAGTGTCTTACAGTGTTTTACAGCAGTGTGTGTAACAGTGCTTCAAGCTACAGTGCCAATGACCCAGGAAAAATGACACACTCAGACACCCACTTACAGACACACACCATCTGAGAATGAGGCTTGATAAATGAAGCAATAAATAATAGCACAGACAATAGAATAAAGCCTCTAGCCGGTGTCGGCGCCCGGATGAATTACTTAAAGGGGCATTTGGAGGGGGCAGACATTTATCACTCCACCCTAACTAAATGTAATGCTGCTAAAATGAGTGCTTGTGTTCAACCATCACTGTCTGAAGGACAGAAAGATCCACGGCATGCATACACATGACCCTAAAATATAAGAGTGTTAATAAATATAAGAATGAAGTAAAGCACTGGAACTGCACCAAAAAAAAAAAACCTAGATCACAATTGATTTCTGTGTGTGTGTGTGTGTGTGTGTGTGTGTGTGTGTGTGTGTGTGTGTGTGTGTGTGAACAACAGTCGAGATGGCATTCCAGGGACCGGTGTGGAGAGAGATGTGCCACACTGTGATAAATGCTCAGAAACATCAGATAAGATGCCAAGACAACTGTCAGACACTTCTAGCAGGATAGGAGAACTCCTGCACCCACCACCACCTAAGAGAGGACGTCTCTTTGGACTACGGGTTGACCCTAACCACCAAACCCCATCCTAAGGTTTAGGAAAGAACTGCCATAAAAATTCCCTAGGACTTCTGGATGAAGCAGCAGTGGCCGAAACAAAGAAAGGCCACAAAGATCTATCCAAATCCATTCATACCTATGTTTGGAGTCCTTAAATGGATGTTAACTGCAAAACATTCACTTCACCCCCAGATAAAAAGTATAGTTTCTGTTAATGGCTATTGACTGTTAACACAACAGTTCATGGGAGCAGGCCTATTAACATATTATGGAATAAACAAATGATAGCTCAACTGTTTCCTATCATGTTTGGATTCTATTTGCTCCCCATGATGCTGGTAATAATTTGAAAGAGGTTTGGTAAAGAAATAATGCATGGGTAAAATGTTAAAGACACTGTTTAACTTTGTAGTCCACTCTCTGCAAATGAGTTCCACACTAGGGCAGGTAACACTGTGGCCACCTCGGACACAAGTGGCCAATCACATTCCAGGAACGGAAAGGCGCCAGATTCCAATCTCCTCCTCATCAGAAAGGTATAAAAGTACCCTTTCAACAGACACTCCTTGTTCCAAGTCTCTGGTACGTTCAGTGAGACACTCACAGGCACAACAACATACCGTGTTTCAGACTTGGCGGCGAAGGAGACATTAACAGACACCACTGTCTAAGTTTCTAACCTGATGAGGAAAGAGACTTCAAGACAGTTAAGGTTCAGCTCAACTCTTGAGTAAACCTTCTATATTGCATTCGGCTGCCCTTCATTTGCAAAGGACCCAGCAGTGACGGGCCTCATCTGACTCTTGCAGCTCCTTCAGACACTGCCTGAAACACACAGCTCCTCAGCAACGCAGCCAGACTACAAAGGACTCTGTGAAGACCCATCTGACCCAGTACACGCTCTAAGGACTCTCTTGGCACAACAGAAGGTCAGCATCCTCCAGGCCAGTGTATCAACTGCTGCCGGAACGCAACTCTGTGCCCTTCTCGCTGCACGCAATCTGCATCACCAGTGGAAGACGTCTCTACTGCCGGACTCATCACCCGACCGTGTGGAACATAAATATAAACTTACCAAACCTTTTTCCTAGAGACCTTGGCTTAGTTTATACCTGCAGTCTATTTTTTTTAACCTGCTTAGATAACATTTACCTGGGGTCAGCTTTACAAACAATAGCTGCATTATTTGTTTAAAGATAAATAAGCAATTATTTATCGTCAATTTTACCAGAGCCATTAAGTGGTTTTCCATAAGAAGCTTTAACATAGAATTCTCTTCTATTGCTACATTCAGCTCAACAGCATTGCATTTATTCATTCTGTGTTCACTCCATTTATTTGTTTCTACCATTTTATTCAGGATCTTCCTTCTTGTTTAGTCGTCTATTATCTATTAGCAGTGCATGTTCATTTATTGGTATCATTACTAGTTGTTGTATTTGCTCTTGCATATCAATTGTTAATAAATATCACTAATCTTATTACAACCCTTCCTTGTGTTGATGATCCAAGGCTCTACTAGCTATCTGAATTCCCACCAATCTTTCAGATAAATCAGCTGACCAGCTCACTTCAGTTCGTGAATCTCACATTTTTGAAAATTATAATTTTTTTTTTAATGATTAAGATGTGTTCACGCATGCATTCAAATAAAAAAGAAAATACCCTGTTGCTTTTTAATTGACAGTTACACTACGTGAGTTTTAAAGGGGTCATATGATGCGATTTCAAGTTTTCCTTTCTCTTTGGAGTGTTACAAGCTCTTGGTGCATAAAGAAGATCTGTAAAGTTGCAAAGACTAAAGTCTCAAATCCAAAGAGATATTCTTTATAAAAGTTAAGAGTCAATTAATGATCTTTAAAATAGCATCATATATGACCCCTTTAAATTTAACCTTTCTTGAAAATGGTATAAAAGTATTTCAAGACCATATAAAACCAACACATTTCTAATAATGTACCACAAGTGTTTTAAACTAGATATTGTCTTTATCATAGACATATGTCATTGAGCCCAATACAAACCATCCAGCCATCACACCTCTCCTAAGGCACAACTCTTCCCTGACTGGCTAATAGATGTCACATGACTCATATGAGCTTGGCACTCATATGACATTGAATGGGGCATCTGTGATTCAAACACTCTACTCATAACATTGCCATCCTCTGTCTGCCAAATATTACAAATCCCACAAATAACAAAAGCTGAATGTCCACCTTTACTAAATCCATTTAGTCTCAGCTCCTCTTCAACACTGCTAAATTTCCAGGACCAAACGCACGAATGGCAGTGTAAAATGATTTTATTACTTGGAAGCGCCGCTCCGGTGACCCCTAGATGGCGAGGCCTTGTGGAAATGACTGTGATGTGACAAATGGCTCAACATTACGGTGTATAATTGTCCATTAGTGAGAGAACTCAGTGCACACAGCTCTGGGAGTTGGATGAGAGTGTGTTAGTTAGAGGATGCCAAAGCTGTTCCTCTGAAAGACCACAGTAAGGCTTGGCGGATCTATGATTATCCTAATGCTTTATAAAAGAATTACTGCATAATCACATTTAAAAATCATTTTGGTTCATATAAAACTAAAACCATAAAAATCACACATTTTCATTACTTAAAATAAAGGTTAACTGAAATCATTGTTATTTTAGTATTATAGTTGTTTTCTAGTTATATTATAGTTAATATTTTGAATTAGATTTTATAATTATTTTCTGCTTTAATTTTGATTTCAGTTTTAGTTATTTTAGTGCATCAAGTTAAACTAAATTTAAAAAATGAGAAATGTTGCCCTGGAAACTAGCTTAAATAAAATATATATTTTTTAAATATTGTATTTAATTTCAAATTAAACGTGCTTTTTATGATTTTAGTTTAAGTTATCTATATAATAACTCTATGTGAAATAAAAGAAAATATATTAAACTTAAAACAAACTTATTTTATCACAGCTAGTTGCCAAGGTATCATTTCTCATTTTCTTTTAGTTTAACTTAATGCATTATAATAACTTATAACAATAATATAGACATATAAAGAAAGAATAAAAATGACAAAACACACACCGAAATTAATAAAACTAACTAAAATTAACATGAAAGCAGAACATATACAAATTCAATCTAATTCAATATATCAACAAAAACTGTAATAGTATCTCAGTGATACTGAAATTCAATGGTACTGAACCTCAATTAATATACATGTATCAATGATAATAAAATAACACTGATTTTGATTCACTAATGAATCATTCAGGCAGATTTTAAACTGGCTCGACCATTTGAAGGAAAAAAACTGACTCAAAAGAATGATTCCCTCTCAAATTAGGCATGACTTTGAATTAGGCATGAAGTTTTACTCTCTAGACCAGTTTCATTGACATTTCAAAGCCCGGAAAACACAGTTCTGAAATTCCCTGTCTCTGTATTTCCAGTGTGCTGTGTGATAGAGAGAGCTGTTCTGTACCTGTGATGGCGTGGTGAGAGAAGGCCTCCACGTAGGTCAGGTAGTTGTGGGGACAGTGTTTCTTCAGCCACTTACACACGTCCTGCTGGGTCCAAAGCACCACTGGTTTGCATAAGCTGGAGAGCGTCGGGCTGGTGTGGTACACAGTGAAGGCCTCTCCTGGCTGGATCTGTGGAGCGAAAACATCCATATTGTCACCATCTCAACAGAAACCAGTTTAACGCTGAAGCAAAAATATACAGTATGTGGCCCATATGTTCACCAGACAACATTCCCACCAGGTTTAAAAATTCAAAACAGGTTTAAAATTGAAAAAATGTAAATCTATCATACTAAAAAAACAACAGATGGATTAGTAAACAGGACGAATACGGAAAAACAGTGTGCTGCTTTCATATCTTCAGGGTGCTCTTACAGGGTACTTTTTTCTTTGAAAGCGCTAATTAAAACAACTAGCGCTGCATGCTTCTGTGTAAACAATGCTCTTCTAATTACACGCACACTTTGTTCTGACTGCCGCAATGAGCAGAAAGATTCATCAAAACACACTTTTATGGCTCTCTGCTGCAGAGAACTGTAATAAAACCCTTTACTAGGGTATGTTATGCTTGTGTGAGAGCATGATGAAATGCAACGCTAGCTTGTGTAAACTATGAGAGTAAACACTCACAGGCCTGATTTATTTAATCGTGACTACTAGACACCTTAAAAACGTACATTGTGAGACAAATCTTAAAAACAAAATATCTCTAAAGGCTAAAGGCTGTCAAAGTGAATATGCAAATTATGGAAAATACCTTCTTAATAGATCTATAAATGAAATCCAAAATCATGGACGTTCGACAAGTATGAGCGTAACACCATTTACCACCAAAAAAAGACCACCAGAAGACTGTTGCGACATTTAATATTTGAGAAACTGATTATATTTGTAACTCTGGAAGCAAAGGATGGTAGACAGAGACATGAATCCAAGTGCAGGGGTTTAATAAAAAGACCAAAAACCAGAACAGGGAACAAGAAATGCAAGGAACCAGAGTACATCTAACAACTGACAATGAAACACTGGGAAACCAGTGCTGCGTCCGAAAGCTCTAAAATGCAGCCTTCGGAGGACTTAGTTTAGTTTAGAGCTTTATTAATCCCCTTGGGGCAATTAATTCAGACTTTCGTAGTGCTTCACATATACAACACTTAACACACACATACAAATACTCAAAATACACCAAATACATAAGAGAAGGGAAAAAAAAAAAAAAATCAACTAAATTTATTACATAAACGTATTGCTTTTATGTAATAAAAGCATGTAATAAAAGGACGTATGTCATTTTATGTAATAAAAGGACGCATTCCAAGCTAGGAAGGCATCAAGGCACGTCCGAACGCAAAGTTAGCTTCACTTCCTGTCTCATGAGATACCTTCATCTGATTGATTTTTGAAGGCAGCATAGATCTATCCTTCGCTGCCTTTGATATACCCACAATCCTGTGCGTTCCATTCCTTGACGGTTGAACTAAAAAATAAAGATGGCGTCTGAAAGTTGCGTTTGGTGGTCAGTTATATATTTTGTATTGTGGAGTGACACTTTCAAACTTTTCTATAGCCTACTCCTCTGATTATATAATGGTAATTATTACAATATCATAGCACAGTGATCAGCAATAATGATAAGCCTAATACTCACAATAAAAATAATAAGGTCATACCGTTACGCTGCATCAGAAGCCTGTCCGAAATCAGTTTCATGAGGTGCCTTCGTGCAAAAACGCTGCCTTCAAAGTCATTGCCTGATAGAGCAGCGAGGCAGCAAGTCAGCTGCCTAGGCTTTAGGATGCAGCCCAGGGGCAAGTTCAAGCTCAAACCGGTGCGCAACGTTTTGCTACGGTTTCCGGTTTGAACGACATGTTTCCTGGAAACGGTGTGTAACGGGGTTTGAGATGCGTTTTCTCTTGTTTGGTGGGTGTGTCAAACATGTCAGCCCAATCAGCAGCAACATGTATATAAACCACGCGGTATTAAAGAGACAGCTCGCACAATGTAATTAACATCAAAATAAATTCACAAGAGGGAGTATATTGTTTGCACATGTTTATTACATTAAAGGCAAAATAACTGATAATATGATAATAAGAGCACAAGTATAGATCTGGAACTTCTTTAAGTCTGTCTAAATACCATTTAGTAATTGCAATGTCTTCTGGAACATTTTGCACCGTTTTGTCGGGGCTGAACGCAGCCCAGGTCTTAAATACAATTAGGATAACAAGGAAATGAGGGACACCTGGAGGCACAATCAAGGGCAACCAATCAGAAATAAAACTACAAAATGACTACAAACTGAAACAGGAAACTCAGCTGACACTAATTACAACATAAACGTCCAAATACAAGACAAAATCAGGAATATGTATTAGAATGCACTGAATTAAGGTGCGCTCACAGTTGCTTGGCGAAATTTTACTGGTAAAATGTAGTAATTTTAATAGAAATTAGTAACATTGATATACTATCATAGTTTTTGGTAATTTTTTTATATATATGTTCTGTTTTATTTTGAATTTTGTTTGATTTTGTTGTGCATTTTTGTCGTTTTCATTATTTTTTTAAATAAGTGTAAAACAGTTTTTTATTATTTATGTCAGTTTTAGATTGAGTTATTTTGAACTAAAAGAAAATTAGAAATGATACCTTGACAACAAGCAGAAATTAAATGTTTAATTTTACAAACAATTTATTTTCTTTTATTTCAGTTGACATTTGTTTTATTTTAAGTAATGAAAATTGGGTTTTTTATGGTTTTAGTTTTAATTTTAGTTTTAGTTAATGATAATACCTCTGATAAAAAAATCCACACAATCAGGAGTTTTTTGTCAGAGCTAAAAAGTTTCTTTTACAAATTTCACATGTGTTCAAGTTGCAGATCACGCAAATTTGCTGCATTGACCAACATAAAGCTGCTTGGTTGGAAAGCGACGTCTGTGTGAGCTGTGCTTCATTCATCTCTACACTACTGACAATGGAGCAAAATAGATAATGTGACTGTAAAACACTACCATCCCTTCACTACACGTTCCCTGATCCCAAACTTCCCACTTCTCTATGTCTCTATATTTTAACAAAAAGAAGTATGTATTTCAAATAAAAACACTATGGTCAGTCAGAAGGATGGCAACTCTTGTAACAGAGGAAGGATTTGTTATCAGGAGCTGCAGGTCACACATTAATCAACACCTGAAGACAGAAGCCCATTTTCACCCAGCAAACAGACAGAAAGAGACAGGCATTGAGTTAGGTAGCAGACAAAACACAACAGACAGCATGAGAGTGAGAAAGATAAGGATACAGATTCAGACATAAACATCATTTTATTTTCATAAAGAGTAAGTGAAAGCTGTCACAAAATGCAACTGAAGTAGATGGCTCAACATACAGGACTGAACCTGTGGGAAAGGCTGAAAACATGATTCAATGTGAAAAAGAGAGAATGTCAAACACAAGAGACGAAGCAAATGAAAGAACAGCACAGGCCGGAAAGGTAAGGATTCAACTGATATAATACAATATAAAAGAGAAAAAGAGAAGTCACTCAATCCTCTGCATATTATTCCTCTATGTGTAATGGGAGTCATATTTCTGCTGGTAGGTACTTTCCATTCACAGGGTACAAAGTAGGGCCTGAATCTCTTAAAGGGATAGTTCACTCAAAAAAGAAAAAAGAAAAGAAAAGAAAATTTTGCCATCATTAAGACCCTCATGTTGTTTATAGCTGGTCGACCGGTGCATCTCTCGAACATGAAACTTTCACAAACTGCTGATTTAAAACAAGCAGAAATCGCCATTCTTGGGTTGGTGCGTAGATCGTCTCTTCTTCTGCCCTGTCCTGTTGTGACGGTTAGCTAGGGCTGTGCAAAAAATCGAATGCGATTTTCATGCGCATCTCGTCAGTAAAGCCGCTCCTGTGATTAGTAGTAAATCTCCAGCACGTGCTTTCAGATGGAGATGCGCATGAAAATAGCATTCGATTTTTTGCCCAGCCCTACGGTTAGCGTTGCATTACCGCGTGACTGATTGCCTATAACTGACTGTATTCGTCGTCTGACTGCATGAACCGAACTGTGACGTCTCTACTGTGATGTTTGAGACGAATACATGTACCGTTACACCCCTAACATTTATATAATTTTTTAACAATAAATAAACTGCTGCAGAACACAAGTTACAGGCTTGCGAATGTAGTTAAAGTATTAATTAAACTGGCACTCAGTAGCTAGTTTGAGACCAAATGTTGGTTAACAGTTACTGATTAACTTACATGTGACATCAATTAAAGACAAAGTTTGATCATTCTTACAGTAACCCGGGAAACGGGGTTGAATGGTTGAGCCTGATGAATACATTCAACAAAATTTCTATAAAACTGAAATGAGATAATTTACTCGTCTTCTCATTATCCAGAAGTACACAAACTTCTTGCGTCACATTATCACATAAAAAGTGGTAACAGTGTTGCTTGCAAAATGTGGGACACAACTAGATATGCTCTTCATGCTAGCTCAAATTGCACTGTATGTTAGACCGGTGGTTCTCAATTCCAGTCCCGGGGACCCCTTGCTCTGCACATTTTGCATGTCTCCCTTATTTAACACACCTGCTCATCAGCTAGACAATAGTTTATCTACCATATCTAGTTCTCAGATATGGGTTTTGTTTAAAAAAATGGCACACCAAAGTGTACCCTATTTATGGAAGGTAGTGGAAAGTGAGAATGAGGAAAACAAAGAGGATCTGGTGCGTGCTGCTTGTCGCTCTCATCGCCTCCTCCTCCCTCTCCTCCATCCTCTGCTCCCTCTTTCCTAGCCATCCATCACCCTCTATCTCTCCCAAGCCAGCCTCTGGGCATTAAACAGCCACCCTTGAACCCATGAGACCTGATTCTGTCCAGCCTGACACATACAGTCATTAATAATACACAGGGGAGTGAACCTGTAAGGAGAGGGGCGGCCCAATCTGGAGGGCCATTTTGTGAGATGAGTCTGAATACATCCCGTTGATGCATGATTAGAGGAACAGCCATGTCCTCCTCAGCTAATGGAGGTGTGAGCTCATTATACACACTACTCTTCAAAAGTTTGGGGTGAGTATGATTTTAATACTTACAGTATTAA